AGGGTAGAGAAGTACCCCAGCTGGAAGAGCAGGAGGAAGGCATCAGAGCCATACACGTAGGGAGAGATGCTGGAGCCTTCCTTGGGGTTAGGCCTTGAAAGAGTGACTGTACTGGTTGGACTGCACTGGGGAAAGCTAGACTACAGTTGGGGGGGCTTGTATGATAACCCCACAAAGAGCTAGTTATGCTTGGAAACTTGCTGGAGGTACTGGGGACTCCAGAACAAGCGGGGAAACTGAGGTAGGCACATGGTAGAGAAGGCACGCAGGTGATCAGCCCTGGCAAGTGAGGCCCGAAATTGGACCAGCTAGTAAGCTTAGGGAGGACTAATGACCCACCAGAGTTTGGCAGAAAGCAGCACATTTATTATACTGAGAGCTAAGCTCAAAAGAAGGGGGGAGGGGATTGTCACACTCACACTTGCATACTCACGCTCCCAGGACAGGCATAGCACTGGAGATGTCCGGATCATTCAAGGTAAGCGTCCCACAGCACAGCGATGGACGGGGCGAAGGTAAGTCTTCCCGAGGCACGATGGAATGCAACGCGGCAAACCACTGGCCAGGCAGTCCGGGCGAAGGGCCTTCACCAGAGGTACAAGGTTGTGAGTGCAGTCCTGAGCACATGGCCCCTTCCCCTTTTAAAGACCTGCTCCTCATGGCCTGCGACTAGAGATGACTTGGTCACACTCCACCTCAGCCAATGTCCATGTAGTGGACATGCATTGGGAGTGTGAGTGCTGCCTAATAAAAGAGTCTCAGACACCTTGTCTACCTGGGAGCTCTTCTGATCTTCCAGCTGTTCAACCAGCCCATTCATCTCACAAGCATTCCAGGAGGGAGGGGGAGGGGGAAAGCCACTTCACAGGTACTCAAAGAGGGAGAGGAGACAAAGGGGGGAGGGGGGGGAGTATAACAGACCTTTTGAGCATACAGGTTATACATAGCATAGTTATACAGAACATACAGATCACTGCTGCTCCTACAACAGCAAGTGCCCCAGAGAGGGAAATCAAGGCAGGGGGCCATTTGCAGGGCCACAATCAATCAACATCTACACCCAAAGCCTTTAGTCCCATTTCCACATAAGTTTTCTTACTTCTCAGGCAAGTCCAAAACTTCCCAGACAGCCTGTGCTCAACTTTTCCCAGACCCAGTACCTTTCCCCCTGGGTGATCACCTGGCCTTCTGCCCCTCTCTGGCGCTGTTGTCCTCCAGCCTTCTTGGTTATTAATATCACTATCTCCTCCCTAGCTAGAATGAGCAGGGTCTGGCTTATATAAACCCCAGACTCCTCCCACTCCCAGCAGCCTCTGAGAAGATTGGTTAATGGGAGTCAGCTGCTTGGGGTGTTTTTTTTCTCTCCCATGTGACAGTTCACGCTGTCATACCAGTATAACTGATTCTTCTAAAGAAAGCGGAACAAGCTATACCTGTATAAGGTACTTTTATACCAATATACCTGCATCCACATTCGTGGTTGTAGTGGTATATCAGGGAAAAAATCACAGCCTTAATCGACATCATTGTATCAATATAAAATCAGTGCTTCTGTACAATGAGAAGAACAGCGCTGCCCTATCTCCTGGGGTGTTGTGAGACTAAAGCTTGTGAGATGCTCAGGTACTATGGTGATGGAGGCCAGCTAAGGACCTGAGACAGAGAGACAAAAATTAACAAAACCTGGGTCACCAATTCTCAGCTGCACTAAGGCCCTGCTCCTGCAAACACAGGTGCATGTATGGAACATTACTCACAGGAGTAGTCTCATCAAGGTCAATGGGGCTAGTCATGTGAGTAAAAGTAAACACTTGCATAAGTATTTGCAGAGTCAGGGCCTGAAATAACGACCGGGTGAAATGAAAACGCTTAAAAGAAAATCGCTCCATTTTTTTCCACACACAACAACATGAAAAGAGAATGAATCCATCGTCTCACCAAAGAAGGGATTTAAAATATTTTGGCACAGCAAACAAGGTGGGAGTGATTAAATCCAGGATCACATCTATTTAGGGAGGAGGGATAGCTCAGTGGTTTGAGCCTTGGCTTGCTAAACCCAGGGTTATGAGTTCAATCATTGATGGGGCCACTTAGGGATCTGGGGCAAAAATCAGTATTTTGCCCTGCTAGCAAAGGTAGGGGGCTAGACTCAGTGATCTCTTCCTTCCAGCTCTATGAGATAGGTATATCTCCATATATATTATTTTTAGCAAATGACCGGACTGATAAGAAGCCTGAGCAAGAAGCACACAGAGACAATAGTTAAAGGAGCAAGAACCAGTAGGTGGCATTCATAAGCTTTGCATGAGGCTTCGATTGCCACAAAACTGCAAAAGAGGGAAATGTTTCTTGTGCAAAAACAAAACAGAAGAAACCACCGAAATGTTCCTCTCCGCTGGATAGTCCCACACCCACTTTGATCAGCAATACCTGAGCTGTCACGGTCTAAAGTGACCCTTCGCTCATTGTCCCAGTTTAGTCTTGGGAAAGTGTAGTGCCTAGGAACTGGGTAGGATGCTTTAAATGGTGTGTGAGCTTCCTTGTCTTCTCCTGCAGAAGCCACCAAAACCTAACAGGGCAAGGGCGCGTAGGTGTAACTGGGGCTTGTATGTTTGTAGATACTGCAGTTAGTGTTTGTAGTTGGAACCCAGCTCGGCCGTAGTTAAGGTTTATGCTTAATGTTCTGTAAAGAGCAAAGACGCCTCAGATGGACTCCTGCTTCTCAAGTGACCAACCACTCCCTCCTGCTCCTCCCTCACTTCGCTCTTCAAGACCCGCTCCTCCTGCAAAGCCTTTCAATCGTGATCGCTGGCAAGATTCCTGCCCCAAAGCCTCCGACTCATCCTGGCAACTCTCCATCAGCTGGAAGCCCTCAATTCAGCAGAACCAACGTGGATTCCGGGGCTGTGCCTGATGGGGTTGGCACCAAACCAGTGCAAAGAAAAGGAGGGGGAATGGGTGTGGCTAAGAAATGGGGAGCCCTGCCCAACCCGTCTTTGGCAGGTCACCCCAACAATCCCTCCTAATGTGCAAGGATGGGGCTGGGGAACCGGATTTGCTTAGTTGTTCCATCAGAGTATTATATCATCTAGCTAGAGCAGAGGTGGGCAAACTACAGCCCGCAGGCCACATCCGGCCTGCAGGACCATCCTGCCCAGCCCTTGAGCTCCTGGCCAGGAAGGCTAGCCCCCAGCCCCTCCCCCGCTGTCCCCCTGTCCCCCTCCCCTCCCCGCAGCCACGCCGCTGCACGGGCAGCGCTCTGGGCGGCGGGGTTGCGTGCTCCTGCCGAGCAGAGCGGCAGCGTGTCTAG